TAGCTTGTGAGACTCTAAATTAGCACTTAATGTTCCATTTTCTTCAGTAAGTTGACCAACGCGAGATACAACTTCTTTTAGATTATAGTGATCTGCTTCGAGAACTGCTTCTGAAACTTTAACCCCCACCAATTCAAGATACTGCTTTTCATACTCGCTAAAAATACTTTCGTTCTCTTCTTCAAGTCTCATTCTTTCCTCCCTAACAGACATCAGCTTCCTATTTAAGTTGGAGATCTCCATTTCAAGATCTAAAATCAAATCTTTACAGTCCATCGACTCTTTTGACACTTTTTCAACCTGATGGATCATGAGTTCTTTGTCCTCTTCAAGCTTTTTTTTCCCTTCCGATACAACTGTCAAATTCTCATCTATATTTCTATTTTCAACTTCAAGAGCTTTAACCCTACTCTCATATTTTGCCAGATCTTCCAGTAGCTTACTGTTTTCACTAACCAAAGAATCATTTTGCTCCTCTAGTTGTAGCCGATCAGCTCTTAGCATAGTCTGCAAAGACTCCAATGAAGCTTTTGACTGTGCTAATTCTCGTTTCACACCCTCATTCTCAAGCAAAATAATTTCATTCTCCTCAGAAAATTTAGTTCTCTCTTCAGCCATAACATGTAGACTCCTTTGTAAGTTTTCATTTTCCACCTGCAAGACTTCGGCCAGAATTTTGCAGTCAACTAGCTCCGTAGATAGGGTTGACAGTCCATCCTGTGCAACTTCCAAATGTTTCTGTAACTCATTGATTTTAGCAGAAAAACTTTCAACCTCATCTTTCGAAGAGAGAAGTTGCTTCAGAAGTTTTTCCCTTTCTGAAACAACCTCCTGGAGCTCATGCTTAGACTGCGAAATATCTTCAGCAAACATATCATTTTCCGCACGGACTTCAGCAAGTGTTGAAGTGGCTGCAGATATTTCATTAATCAACATTTGCTGTTCAAATAGCTGTAAATGAAAGGCATCTTTCAAAACACATGTGACATATAGTTGTTCCTTGAGCCTCTCATACTCATTACAGCCAACAGACTCATGGACCTTTGTCTTGTCCGCATCTCTGGCTTTCTCTAGTGGCAGCTCTCCTGACATTAACAGAAACCTGAATTCATCTTCATCAAGTTTCCGCAAAATCCCTGAAAGCTCGGAAAGTTTGACCACGCTCCCATCTAGCACTGTTGACAAATCCAATTGTTTACTTCCTACGGAATTTTCAGTCTCAGCAACCTTCAACTGACGCAGTCTTTCTGCGTCACTAAGATCAAAGCTTGCACAATTGACTTGAGCAGTTGAACTAGCATGGGAATCATCTGATTCGTTGAGAATTACTGGTTTCTCTTCATTGGATGAGCTGGGAATTTTACTTTTGATCAGCTTGTTTGCCACAACTGAACTTGTAGTCGACACCGTCTCCGAATCTATTATAGGACAAACATCAATTGAGTGCTTATGCCCCTCATATGCTTCCTCGACGACTTTGGCAGCAGAACCAGCTAATGAAGAATCAACTGCTGGGATGTTCCCTGAATCAGCTGTCTTACTGTCTCCACTTGTCAGACTGAGATCGTCAGCAGACAAATTACCATCACCTTCAAGACTTGTCACCGTGCCTCTGTCAATTTGACGGCCAATGGGACTGCCAACTTCCTGCATTGCCCCTACCCAGAAAAATTAAGCCAATTTTAAACTCTTAACCCACAAAATAAAGCCAAAAAAGAAAATGGAATAAAGTATATATATAGGATTTGGTTCAAATGAGAAGAATTCCTTAAAATAGGAATGCGAGTCCAAATTCCAGCAATTCAAAAGACATAACTGTGCATTCAGGCGCTTCTAAATATGCATTGAAATTGTTGGTGAATAATACCAATAAAAATATTTAAATAGATAAACAAAACCTGAATTTCGCATTATTGTCCTTCTAAGTGAGCACTAATATGCTTCTAAACATGCAATTAGCAATGATATACTGCTCGTTTAGAAGTTCGACGATGCATATTTACATATTTAATAATGCATAGTTTTCTGTAACCAACGTACATCCATTAGATCTGGATCAATAGATGGCAGGGATTGATCCTCGCGTTCTCATTTTAAGAAAGGGTCTCAATGGAACCACTCAATATACATACATATATATATATATACATACATGTATATATATATAGGAATAAGTTGTCATGCAGATTCAAGAGTAAAAGTCACAAACCTACATCTGTTTCCTGCTCTTCCCCATGTTGACTTCCCAATTCGGATAAAAACTGAGTGTGCAAAGATGTACCCGGATTTTCATCCCTCTCAACTATAATATTTGGATCAGAGGAACCTGCCACATTACTTTTTATATCATGGACCGAAGAAAAGGATTCATCTTCCTGCATGGCCTCCCCATCATCAGCATTCCCATTCATACTGTTTTGATCAACTTCAGAACCCTCTAACGGTATTCCAGCAGCTCCAGCAGGGGGTAGTATTTCAGGAATACCAGACCTTTGAGAAACTTCATTGAGACTATCACTTGCCGCTGTTGTACCATACCCAGATTTACTACCTTTACCTGACGATCTACTGCTATTCCCTTTACCATCTTTTTTCTGCCTGAACTGTTGAAGCTGACCCAAAAAAAATAAAATAAATAAATAAATAAATAATAATAATAATAATAATAATAATAATAATATGTCAGAAAAATTTACAATAATTATGATTCAGGGGTGATGATAACAAACTCAATTTGTTTTGCTGAGAATACTAACTACAAATGCACCTCGAATCATTGAGAAATTTATAAAAGGGGAAAAAAAGCTACGCAAATTGCATTCTGAACATATACATGGGTAAGTCACCAAATTATACTGTCCAAAACAAAATCCACACAAGAAGCCCACATATTGCAAAAAAACCGAGTGAAAAATTCGCACAAAACTGTAGTTCCGAAGAATACACAAACACCATACACTGATCTTTACATAATTAGCATGTAATACATAGAATTGCCAGGAGGCAACAATCAAAAACCGATTAGGGTTTAACATTTTACCAGCACTAACTTCTCACCCATTCATTTCGTCAATAACTTGCATAATGATCTGACATATCGGCATAATAGTCTTGAAGGGGGGGAAAAAGTTTACTGAAATTGTCAAAATTGCTTACCGTTTTCCGACCAACCGCCAGCAAATCGGCGCGGTTCTTATTTTTCTCCATCCCCAATAAAATCCTCTCCGATCAGCTGTCCATAACAATTAACCCTATAAACCCCCAAAAAAACGAATAGAATCGGAAAGTCTACGACAAATTCGTGTAGATGGGAGGATGGTCAGATTTTCAAATTATTTTCAACGTAAAATTCTGCAGATACAATGAGAGAAACCCGATTGATTTGAATGGTTTTTGAGTAGAGTGTTGGAAATGCTGTTCTATTTAGATCTCAACCAATGTTTTCTCTCCTGGTCTGTTAGTTCTTCTTTTATTTTTTTTCTTCAATTTTTGCAAAATATTGTAAAATGTAAAGATTGGTAAGTTTAGGTTCAAGTTACGAGTATGACTCATTTAAGATCGCCCTTGATGATCACCCAAAGATTATTTATGAACTTTTGTTTATTTTCATATTTTTTTTTTAAGAAAGGTAGAAACTATATTAAAAAAAACACACACATAATTACATATAGAAACAGTCAAACAGTTGAGAGAAATCAATTATCAAGTCGAGTCTATTGAGAGGTTAAACCTGGAGGTCGCCTAGAGCCTACACTAGAAACACAGAACAACTCATCCACAACAAAAACTACGGGGCTTGTATTCAATTGAGATTTTTAAGAACTTTTTAAAACTTTTTAAATTTGGTGACTTTTTTGGACTTTGTAGAATTTTCATGACTTTGGTAGACTTGTTGGGACTTTCGGAGAATTCTCATTAGTGACTTTTTAAGACTTTCATATTGGACTTTTTAAAACTTATTGAGACTTTTATATACTTGTAGTTATAATATTATGTTAGAATGAAAAATTAATAAATGTAACATAATAACTAATATTAAGAAGAATCAAAAAGAATATTTTATATATTAATCCTCTAAAAATTTATGAATCAACTCATTGTTATGCAAAATGAGTTATTCAGTAACATATTATTTAGGATTTTAGATTTATTAAACGATCAAATCAATCCGAGTTTCAACGAGTCGAACTATGGAAAATACAAACATTGTCAAAAAACAGTAATTGTATTTTATAAAGTTATCAATAATATTCAAAATAATTCAATATCAACAAATAAACTATTAGAAAAAGAAATAATTTTATTAATATTAAAAAATAAACATTGATAAATAAAAAGAGAGGACAAATAAATTATTTGCAAGTGCAAACTATGGAAGCATTTAACCTTTGAAAAATCAAATTCACAAGATAACAAAATGAAAGATTAAAGGTATACATAAATAAAATAGCCATAATAAAAAATATATAAAATAAAGATTATGTTAAATATACGTAATGAAATAAAAATTATACAAGGTATCAAAATAAAAGAGTAAAATAATAAAGCATGAAAGTGATATGAGATACAAAATCGTGTAAGAAAGAAAAAAGAAAGAAAACGTGAAGAGAGTCACATAAGTCCAGCAAAATCTCACCAATATTGATGAGATTTCTGTTGTGACTTTCTCTTTGTAATTTTGTTAGAAAAGTCTCTAAAAGTCTCACAATTTAAAAAGTCTCACAAAGTCTTCATATTTTGAATACAGGTGACTTATAAAGACTCTCAAAAAGTTTTAATTGAATACCCTGAGACTTTTAAGGACTTTTAAAAAGTCTTTAAAAGTCTCATTTGAATACATATAAACTTTTCAGAAGTCTCTAAATGTTCTGATTGAATACACCAAAATTCTAAAAGTCTTAAAAAGTCTCTTAAAGTTGAAATTGAATACATCCCTCTACAACTCCCACAAGTGGAGAAAGACACGATTCCACAAGTGGAAGAAAACACACTCCTAACAAATGAAGAAAACACGCTCTCAACAAGAGAAATACACTCCCAATAGGAGAAAACACAAAACCAAAAAACTTACAACACACAAGCAGGACACAACTGAAGAAAAACTAAGAAGGCTACAACCCTCCCCTCCACCCGAAGGCACTCCGGACCCTCACCACTCGAATCATGACCCAAGTGACCCCCAAGCACTGAAGCCAATCCGACAGGACCGACGACCTACCGAGTGGCCACCACCGGTACAACACCTGTAGACCCGCAATTAACTCCACCCCCAACCCACCCCGTAGGCCACTAACCCGCTCGAACTGCGTCGGGAGCCGCCACCGGAGAACCCCTCCAAGCCCAACACAAGGACGAGAAGAGGAACGAAGGTCGAAGCTCAAAGCTTATCCCGGCCCCAGCCGCCACCGCACAGCTACCGGATCCCGCCTCGACACCATCGCCCGCGAGCCAAATGTCTCGACCATCCGTCACGGCCAACCGGTAGAAAGGCGAAACGCTGCATCAACAGGGATAGTCTGCCCGTAAGGAGATGTGCCTACAGCCCAAGAACCGAATCGGAGCAGCGGGGGCGGATTGCCGGAGGAAGAGAGGCTTCGATGAAGATTAGGTCCAACTAGGTTTTTTGATTTGGAGCTATCCAAAATTTAGAGAGAGGAATGTTGAGTCATCTAAAACTTAAGAAAGTTAGAGCTCTAAGAAAAGTTGGTTGATTGGTAAGCCTTTTTAGCCCTAATTATTAGCATTATTATTGTCGTTTTAATTTTTTACCTTATTGTTTCATGATCCTATTATTTTACAAATATATCATTACATTCTTGTAAGTTTTATTTTTTTTTGGATCCTATTATTTTATAAATATATCATTCTTGTTAGTTTTGACAAAATTTTCTTTATCGTCACGAAATAAAATATTGATACATCTCTCGTATATATAATTAAATAAATTTTGAGTTTCGTTGATAACACGGTGGTACCAAACTATACTTTAGATGAAGTTAAACATAAAAACAAGCTACTTTGAATGACAAGTGAGATCGACGAAATAACAAAAGATTGACAACATTTATAAACCAGTAATTTTAGTTTGTATACTAAAAGCTCGGCTTTATTTACAAACTTATTTACAACGTTTCTGATTGGCAAATCATGGTTAGTCAAAAGTGTTTGTTATATTATTTTACATTGAAATAATATGGTTCGATATTTCGAATTGAAGATCTTATTATCGGTTCCGTCTAGAATATAAAGTATGGTTCACAACCTAGATATAATTAAACAAACTATCATGAAAGGTTGTAGTGTAATTTTGAATTTGTTATATCTTGGTTAATGAATTAAAATAGTACATCTCAATTGTATTGAACGGAACACGGAGGATAAAAATATTATATATTGTGCAAGTAAATAATCTAGACCCCAGTTATTACTACGTATTATTAAGCGGTAAGATAATGAATGATCGCATACATTTAATATTTATTACTTTGATTTAACCAAAAAGAGAGATCTAATTACTAGGTCAATAAACTAGGTGACAAATGTTAAGTGCATAATGTTATGTTAAGAATATTTACAATCAATGTGTCCAGGTGCGCTGGGTTGATGACGTCCCCAAAATGAGTTCAAGACGTTCGTTATCCTATCCGTGCAGGTGGATTAAGTTATGAATAACGAGAAGGTTGAGTGGTACTAATTTCAGATACAAAAAGTTTATTAATTATATTTTTAGTAATTAAATTAAACAATTAAGGTGTGATTTAACATTTACTGTTTGGTTACGCATTGATGATTGGTGAGGCAGGCAATTAGCGTCAACCCAATATGTTGGGCACCGACGGCTACTTCCAGGCGGAACTAAGAAGTGGCAGATGCAATAATGATCTCAAGAGTTCGTACAACAAAGATAGTTCTCCGTTCGTTGTTATCGCCCAGATTTGGCCCGATCGACTAGGAGCGGGCGAGGCGTCGACATTTTCAGATACCCATCTTTTTTTTAATGAAAAGTTATTTTTATGTTGTTCGATAATTATAATGATGATTTTTTGTTGCTGTGACATTCACTATTTCATATAAATAAAATTGAAGGTTTTAATAATTATTGTTAACAGAAAGTTGTTTTCATATTGCTTTATATATATATATAATATATTGTTGTTTGTTGTTACGACTCCACTATTTGAATGACATGTTTTTTTTATTTCTTTGGTGATCTTCTTGTAATCATTAATTGGAGTTGAGGAAGTGTAGTTTGTTGTCCATGTTATGAAGTTGAGAGCATTTTGCTCTTATGGATGGTACTTGTAGGTGGTACTTGTGCCGAATCAATATGCATTCAAAAGCAAAAGGATCATGAAGAAAAAATGTATGTATAAAATGATGACAATATGTAATAAGAATCAACCCACATGAACAAAAAGCATAACTAGATCATGTGAAAAGAAATTAATAATAATAAAAAAATTGACATGTGATTACTAGAAATCATAATAACTCTTTAAAGAAAATGGCGAGAATCATCTGATCTTTTTAAGAACATAATTTCTAATTGATTTGGGATGTATGCTTGAGTCACTAAAAAATGCAGTATATTTTAAAAATGCTTTGATCGTATTTTATAATTTAAAAAATTAAAGAGCATTTGTTGATTGTTTTTTATTTTGTTTTTATCTTTTAACTGAAATTTTATATTTGATTGCAATTTATTTTATTTGAAATTTGAATTCAATTCATGTCTGTAACTTTTCTTCCTTTTTTTTTTTTAATCAAAAAATGTAACTTTTTTTATTTTACTTTTCGTTTATATACATCCGGCGGTTTTACATCTATCATTATATAAAAAGATTAACCTTTTTACAAATTTAGCAAGTTTTTCCCTCCAATATCATTAAATGTATTCTATATATAGTAATTGTTGGTCAATTTTGAATATGTAAAAAAATCGCAGGTATATATCTGTTTTTCTTTTTCCTTTTTTTTGGTACTAAAAAACCGCCGGTAGTATATATCTGTTTTTCTTTTTCCTTTTTTGGTACTAAAAAACCGCCGGTAGTATATATCTGTTTTTCTTTTTCCTTTTTTTGGTTCTCAAAACCGCCTGTAAATATTTATATTTCTTTTACCTGTTTTTATGGTACTCAAAATCTTATCCCTTATTTACAAAAATAAAATACGGCTCATTTATTTTTCATCGGTCTAATTACTAATATTTTTACAAATATTATAAACTAACAATACATAAATTAGGCTTATAACATTTTAGATATTTTAAACAAATTGTTTAGACATTTTTTTTTACATATTCGTCTATATATACATACATATATATATATACACACACATATACATAATTGATGTTAAATTTAAATATTTGTAGACATGTTTTCTTTACAAAACAGTCTAGAAAAATCTTTTTTATACAATGTTAAATTCAAATGTTTTTAGATATGTTTTCTTTCTAAAATTGTTTGTAGGTGACTTCACATCTTGCAAAAACAATATAGAAAATTTTGAATACTTTTACATATACTAATATAACATTTTAGGTGTTTTAATATTAAACATTCAAATTTTATATTCTCTTATACAAAATAATGTAAATTTTATTTTCTCTTATACAAAATAATTTTACATTGTTTGACCCCGAATCTTTAATTTATAATTATTAAGTATTTTTTATCTTCCTCTTTAATTTATAATTATTTTTTTTCTTCCTCTTTTTAAATAGAATCAACTGTAGTTTCCACTTAGTAACTCAAACTCGAGGTCTATTTATAATATTATAGATTTAATATTGTTTCCGTGCATCGCACGGGGTACACACTAGTTATATTTAAGGATTTGTGGTATTTTTGAAAACTCTGTAACATACTATTTTCATGAAATATTTTTAAACATGAATTTTTTAAAAAATTATGTGGCAGTTACGAATTTTCTCCATAATGTTTGTTGATGAGTATTGGGCCATTATGCTAGGTGGGCTGCCAAGTTAAGTGGGCTGGTGAAGTATTAATAAGCCCATTAAAAAGAAAAATAAAAGAAAGGCAGGCCTGGTATATTAGCCCAAAACGATAATCAAGAGATCTAGTAGCAGGTTGAGAAAGGAGACGCGGCAAATAATTTTGAAAGAAAAAGAGGATGAAGCAGCCACAGCTATTATTTGGCCTAGTTAAAAAGTAAAAGTAAGCAGCCAGCAGAGATGTTATAAACAAGTTTCTGAAAACCAAACCGGTCATTGAACTGGAAATGCTACCGGTTCAATGGTTCACTGGTGGGATCAGTGGTCGAATCACTTTAATTAATATATAATTTTATTTATTTTATATGTATAATATATAATTGTATATATTTTTATTATTATTTTTAGTGTATAATGATATTTTTTTAAATAAATAAAGAATAATGAATAATCTAATTATTTTAGTTGCCATAAAGTAATATTATTTTCATAAAAATTAATGTGATTATAATGGAAGAGAAATTAGGTGTCAGTGTAATGTGATTAGTAAGGCCCAATAAGGCAAAATTAGTCTTTTAGAATTATTCTAATTTTTAAATATTCTGATAAAATCAATTAGCTAAGTGATAATTTTAAGTGATGAAGTAACCGAGAATTCATGAACAGATGCATTTTGATTTCAAAAACAAGTGATGAAAATTTCAGCAAACAATATAAGGAAATTTTCAAAAACAAGTAACACAACACTTGTTGGGATTTAAATGAGTACAAGATTAAAATATCATTGGCGAAATTTGATGTTTATAAATAATTACGAGATTACGAAGTCAATTTTTTTTTTGTAAGCCTACCATATCCATTGCATTTATTTGACCTGCGTGAAATTCGGTTACCATGTTAATTGAGATAATGAGTTTCTATAATCACGTGTAAGTGAGAAAAAGATAAGGTAAGTGTATAAGTACTAAATAATTGGACTCTTTCCACATGGTGCTTGGCCGAAAATCTTGCAATTTTAAATTCAAACTTCAATTTACAACAACAATATACAGAAAAAATATGTAATATATACACAGGACATATACATAATATACAGAAATTGAAGCATGTATAGTTATAATTTTTTTATTTTTTTTTTTGCATCGTTTTCAGATTTTTTTAGTGTATATGTAGTGTATATTTTACGATTTTTATAATCCAATCTTCATATTTTTTTAGTGTGTATGTAGTGTATACATTTATATACAGTAAGTATATATAATCATTATATGTTATGTATATTAGGGCTGAGCACAGGTCTTGGAGATTACCGAACCGTACCGAAAACCGAACCGAACTTACCCCGAACTGAAAAATATCCGTTGACCGTTTGACTATCTCAGAACCGAACCGTACCGAAATTTTTTTTGGTCCGGTTCTGGAGATTCATAAAATATCCGTACCGAGAACCGAACCGAACCGATTCCAATTCATAAAATTCATATATATATATATGTTTTATCATATGTTTTTTTTTTTCATCTTTGTACATAATTGTATTCAAATAAAGTCTATTACAATTCCTATGTATTGTACATAATTGAAAGAAAAATAAATTAATATATTCTTTATATTACAAAATTTGATAGCCAACATGTCAGATATTTTATTAAGGAGATCATT